TGTATTGCAAGCTTTCAGGTAAAACATATCCAGTGCCCCCTCTCTAAATGCTCTGAATGCTCTGAAAGGTATCAGGGAATTCAAGTAGAAAAAGAAAAGCAAACAACCTGTTTTTTAATCCCTTAAATTTTCTATGTCTCAGCTAATGGAAACATTAGCACCTTACGTATGAGGGCTGATGTTGGTTTGTTAGAATATATTGGCCTATTGTTCTTCTAGGCCAATATATTCTAACAGGAAAGAGCTAGTTTTCCAGGCAGACTACACATCGTCTGAACATCGGGACTGAATTTAAATCAGCCATTCAATGAACTCGTCTTACACCAAGATCAGATTGAAAACTTGGCCATTGGAAAAGAATATGAAAATGTTGTTAACCATAAATCGCAAGCAGAGAGGAAACCACTGAACAAGTTGGCCATGTGCAGCATTCAATCCACTCCAGGTAATTAGGAAAGGGACAGTGGGGGAAATTTCTCAGGGGCTCTCCTGAATGACTGCACAAAGATAAATGGGGATGAGAGGAAGAATAAGACCAATGCTTACACTATGCTGCATGGTCCGCCACACAGTCCTCTGGGAAGCAAGAGGAAAACAAATTTAAAGGAAAAAGAAAAGAGATTATTCTATACATCATAGCACAGCACAGGCACAAAGTTTAGCTTTGTAAGTTGGCATTCCACCCACTCCCCACCCCAAATTCCCTCAGAATGACCAGTAGGATATTTGAGAAATCCATATCCACAGACAGTGTTGAATACTTACTGGAGATTTATGGGTCTAAATCATCACCCACTTGTTGAGTTAACGTGCAAATCTGGCTTTAAAAAAACTTTACTTTTATCAAATATATTTCTCTAAGATACACCATGCACAGTCTATTTTTACTCTAATGAATCAGCTGGAATAAAATAACTGACACTCCCTGCCCAAGTATGTCTGCCAGCCGCAGAACACACTGTGCTCTAATTTTCTGAGCTGTGCAACTAATTGCCGTTTACGGAGGCTAATTTGAAATACCTTTCCATGCTCAGATCTTAAAAATCGAGGTATTTTGTGCTGATTTATTTTTATACTTGACATTTCCAGTGAATCGGAACCGTCTTTTAAAAAAATTATAGTTTCACATCAAATTATTGAAGAGAATTTGCAGAGTATACATTTAAGAATAAAGGAACAGAACCAGTCTCTTCCTGAGCGCAAGCAATAATCTCTGGTCTGTTTGATTGAAAGTCATTAAAAACCAGCTGACAGAGGGGCTACGAAGGGGAGTTTGTTGGTGACAAGAAAGCAACATAATGGTAGGATGACCCTCTTAACTGAATTACCGCAGTTGATAACATTCCTATCCTCAACAAACCATGGATGTTGGTGGTAGGGACTGCAATGTTCTCAGATGAGTTGGCTTTCTGTCAGCAGCTAAATTTATAAAAATACATTCACTCACTCTTGGATAACAAAAATCACTTTAGGGTAGTCTGCCTGAAAGCTACTGACTACTTTAACTCTTTCTTATGCCCATATAACTTTAAAGGAGCAAATGGAAATGTTCCCTAGTGATACAAAATAATTTCTAACTTCCTTATAATTAGAATAAGACATTAAATGATGAAATTGGTGCATTTTTTTTAAGAGAGAGTTTTGTTTTCAATTATTTTATATAAGGTTTAGCAGCAGTTTACTCAGTTTGGGATTAGCAGTTTTATTTTTAAAACAAACCCCATAATTACTCATTCACATGTTAACAAAATAGCTTTAGAATAACTGATATAAGACAATTTACCAACAGATCCCAAAGTTACTGCCACGGGTACTAATCTAAATGGCACTAAGAAATAACTCTCCAAGTGCCTTATGCTGTATAGTTATTTTCATTTTGGCAAAAGGGGGGGTGATTGGAGGAATGTTTTGATATCATTCTTTGAAGCATTTTTCTGCTGAAACACTTCAAGAAATGAAGGGAAATCTTTTCCAATTATCCTCCTTTTCTTAGACACATGCTTCTTATAAATATTCAGGAAACGTCTTTTCCGGGGAAAATTAAAACAGGAGTAGGTAATATGAGCGTTGTTTATAAACAGTCTAAATAGGCTGTAATGGATGACAGACCCATCTGGTTAGTTTGGCAGTGCATGCTTCCTGAAGATGAGCATGTTTGACTGTTGTACCACAGTCTGGCCAAGGATAACCGCCCCAACTTTCCACTGTTCTGAGCTATATTGGAATCCCCAAAGGAAGAAAGTCTCAGGGGAGCCAATGGCTGCTGAGACTCTGTTATTCGCTTTGGGCCTAACTCACGTCTCTCAAGAATAACCTTGGTATAGGTCTGTTTGATGTGGAAACAGTGCCTTGCTCTCAGGAGCTGAGCAAAGTGGGCTTATGGCTGGCTGTGCATTACATGTCACTAATTCTTACCATTTGAGAAGGGATCAGAATTTAATATAATAAAAAATCAACAAAACTGCAATTTTCACTTACAGAGCCTGAAGCCACACCTTTAAAGGAAGTAAATGCTACATGCTGTCTGAGAATGTTTCAGAATAAAATTGGCTTATTGATTTAAATACCTATGCATGGAGTCTGGTCCTTGGCTTTTACTTGTGATCATACGATTGACCATTATCAATCATTTTCAGAAAAAGATTGATAAAATATATTTTTGAGGGGTGCAAAAGGTTTTCATCCTGTTTGCTACTTGTGTATACTCTTGAGACCTTCATATCTAGAGCATTTTGAAGTTTACCAATGAAGCTCCTTTATAAAAGGTTCAAATCTCAATTTTTATGTCCATCGGATTTCAAACATCAGATAAAATTCTCAAAGTGTTGATGCTTTATTTAGTTTATCCTAAGTTGAAAAAATATTGTCTTTAGAAACATATTTTTCTTGCTCTGCTTCCCCTGTTTAAGGGTGTTTCTCCTGGGGAAGACAGAAAACTGCTTCTCTGTTTCAAAGGGAAAAAAATTAATTTGTTGCCATACATATCAGTAGAATGTTCAAATTCAATGCAATTTTAACTAAGTGTGTAATGTACCCCAGGTTTTTAAAATCTTGTTTTATTTTATTGTGGTAAGGACACTTAACATGACATCCACCCTCTTAACAGATTTTTTTTAAGTGAACAATACAGTATTGTTAGCTGCAGGCACAATGTTGTAGCTCAGATCTTTAGAACTTACTCATCTCACATTGTACCCCTATTCTTAAATTAAATTTTACAAAAATTAGGAAAAGACTGGATTGTTCCAATAACTAAGTTAAGAGCCAGTGAAAATGGGGAAAAAAGAATCAAACCCATACTCACCATGTGTGCTTCTGGTTAGAAAGATCTTGATATACAATGCAATTTGTAAAGTAAAACTTAAACAATGGAATCTAATGAAAACCAGCATTTCTTTGAAACAGCTTACTAGTTATTTGGTGGAATCTAACTGGTTGTTTAAAAGAAAAATGGTGACTATTTTTAAACTTTTCCCGAAACTGCAATAGAGAACAGATATAAGTTGGTGGGTGCGGTGGCTCACACCTGTAATCCCAGCATTTTGGGGTGCCAAGGCAGGTGAATTGCTTGAGCTCGGGAGTTTGAGACCAGCCTGGGCAACGTGGCAAAACCACATCTCTACAAAAAAATAAAAAGCCGGGCATGGTGGTGCATGCCTGTAGTCTCAGCTACTCAGGAGGCTGAGGCGGGAGGATCACTTGAGCCCAGCAGATCAAGGTTGCAGTGAGCCATGATCATGCCACTGCACCCCAGCCTGGGCAACAGAGTAAAACCCTGTCTCAAGAAAAAAAAAAGAATAGATATAAGCAAGATAAAGTAAAAGGTTGCAGCAACTACAAATATCTACACTAGAGAGTAGGTTTTATTTGCTAATAAATGGTAATACATTTATAACATAATTTAGCAGTTAATAACTCCAGTTACCCCTTTATTTTGATACTTCATGGACAGGCCTTTAGGTTGTAAGCACATTTGATTTTTATAGAGAGAAATGCTGAGATGTACTTACTTCAAAGCCAAATTCAACCAATTTAATCTTATGAGTTCTACACTGTAGAAGAATATTAACTAAAATCATAAAGTAATTTATAACAGTGACTAATAAAAGTATTTTCATAACTGGCAGTCTTTGAGACTTGAGTTTATATGGCACGGTCAGATGTGGTTCAAGTGCTTTATGACATTAAGAATTTTATCTGTTAATTTTACATCAAGATAATTGGCAAAGCAACATTAACAGCACTAACAATTGCAGGTGTATAAAGTGTTTATAGTACTATAAATGGAAGAAATTGAATTAAAAATATTCAGGCAGTATTTCTTTGAAATTATGAGCTTTTATTTTTTATAGCAAAATTTGGTCTTTAAAACACATTTAAAAATTGTATTTACTATGTTTATGGTTGTATTATCTGAGTATTATAAATTGCTTTGATGATGGATGTCATTGAGTCCCCTGACACACGTCTAAAGAGCTCAAAGAGACTGCTTCTAAGGATTCCAAATTTTTAAAGACACATACAAAAGAAAAAAATGATAGTAACATTGACTTGGGGTTTCCTGGCAAGGTCTTTCAAACAGAAAACTTTGCAAATAAAAAGTCATAATGAAGTTGCATTATATCATAATTGAATAAATAACCATTTTCAGAAAATAACTAAAACAGATGAGTAGGAAATGCGCTATTGCAATTATATCTCTGGAAGAACTGGCCACTTAGTTTTCAAATTAATATTTCATGAGAAATATGAAGTCGAAAATTTGGTCACTGCACACATGCATTAATAGTTTCTTAATGGATTAATAGATTTCTTAAATAATCCAATTTATGGCACAAAAGAAAGGTCCATTACTTTTCAATATTTGAATTAAGAATAGAAGCAGATGTAAGAACGAGATGACTTTTATAACCCACTTTTTCAGAATCTCTTAGGAGTTTCAAAGAATGACTTTGGTAACACAAAGCACCCGCCCTGGTTATCAATCTGAGAATACTCACCAGCCGGTCCAAGCTTGTGCCTGCAGCAGTTGTTGGTCTTTCCTCAGGATTGTAGGGCCTGAAACGTGTATTAAAATTTTCAGGAGCTGAGCGGGCAGATCTGAGAGCTGGAGCAGGTTTAGGCTGACCACATCCCTGAAAGACCTGGAAGAAACATTGAAAAGTAAAGAAAGTTATAAAATGAGTCCTCTCCTAAATTCATGAGGCAGAAGTGTGCAACGCAATGGTGTCCACATTTCTCATGAAGCTTTTACCTCCAGTAAACTCTAATTTTGAAAAGTAAACAACTATAACCACCAATAGAGCAGAAAGAATTACCCAGACAGATACAGAGTGACCAACTATATGCCCTGACTCACAGTTTCAGCATACACTGTCAATCCTTATTATTGGTAGATCCATATTTGCAAATTTGCTTACTCACTGAAATTTATTTTTAACCCCAGAATTAATATTCACAGCACTCTCATGGACATAAAGACACATTGCCAAAAAATTTAAATCATGTTCCCAGCTGAGGCTGGAGAAGACACACTCTCTTATTTTAGCTCTCAGATTGTAAAAAAAGTGTTCTCTTTGTGATCTATGTAGTACAATGTTTTTCACATTTTTGTGCTTTTTCTTGTTGGTTTCAATGTTTAACATTGTCGCCAAGCATTGGGCTGAAGTACTGTCAAGCGTTCCTAACCACAAGATGTTTAATGTGTCGTATGGCAAAAATATGTATGTTAGATAAACTTCATTCAAGCCAGAATTATAGTGCTATGAATTCAATGTTAATGAATCAACAATATAGATTAAATAACGTGTCTTTTCACAGAAGCACACATAAAACAAGGTTACGTATTGATTGGTTGATGAAACTGCTGTGGCCAGTGGCTTGCAGGAACGTAAACCTGTATTTCTCATTGCTGCAATGGTTCAGTATTTGCTAAGTCAATGTTTGCAGTGACTCTACAGAGCATAACTACAATAATGGGAATCAACTGAATTAAAAATAGAGATTGGAATAGTTACTCTACATGATAATTTCAGGATTAAATGAATTGTATCTCACTTTTACATACTTGAATTTGGCATTCCATAAACATCCGTTTGGGGTTCCTGTTATCATGGCAAATGTATTTCATTGTATAGCATAAAAGGCCAAATAATTTCAGTGACTCCCCTTTGAGTAATGAAAATCTCTACTGGAAGAATTCTTTAAAAACACTCTCTTGAGCAGTGGTGTGGAAATAGGACAAGCAAATGTGGATGAAATCCATATAATGATAGCTTCCTCTAATTTTGTTGTTGACAGCTGTTCATGTCACAATTAAGATTGCTATGGGAAATCAAACATTTTATTGTAATGATCTTAGGGATTGAGCTGCCAGGTCTTTTTCCACAGTAATTTCACTCAGGATGGTGTGGAGACACTTCCTTTGCTGTTTTTAGAAGCTTTATACTCTGTGCTGGTTATTGAGAGATAATACTTTTACTGAAATTATAGAAAATGCAGTAACATTTTCAGGAAATCTTGATAAAGTTTAGCTTTATTCTATTTCTTTCATTTCTCCATAGCAGATGATTTTTCTCCTAGATGCTTTTCCTTCAGTCCACTTTTTGGGGTTATTTACGTGAGCCGATCCTTAACTTGCATGTAGTATATTTGCAATGCATTTGTTCCAGTTTTGTTATTTCATTCTGTGTTAACTCTAAAATAAGCATTTTTCATCATGCCTATTATGTGATTCCACTGAAGTACACAGACAGCTCTTGAGTGCCATTCGCAATGACAAATTCTGTCTTGAGACACAATTCATTTTGTTTTACCACTACAGCTAATTTTTCTTACGTTGTATTCAAAAGTTCTCCTTCAACTCAGCATTTTGCAGAGCGGTGGTACTTTGTCTTGGCATTGCTCGAGATTGGTCTTAACACACTATTGATTATTCTTCTCTCACACAATTTCTGAAGCTGATGGTGTAAACCGGTGTGATAAAGATAGTGGCCCTTTTTTCCCTAGTGCCTAAATCACTTCCCCCTGGCAAGGTCGCTGCTGATGGAGGGCATTAACATTTCCAGAGCTCCAGGGAACTGTTGAGTGTGCTATTCTGGATTGCTCTGAAAGTGACAGCTGACTTTTAAAAAATGTAAAGCCTAAGGCGAAACAATACTAATGGCCTTGCTGAGATTTCATTAAGCCAGGTACTGAAAGAGTTAACGGGCCTTTCTGATTCACCTTTTGGGAAAAATCTGGCTCACTGGGTTAAGTTAAATCAAAGAAACATGAATGCCCTGAAAGAATATTAGTGTTCTAGGGAGATATTTCATTGGAATGGAAAAACTTAACATTTGCTTGGATTTTTTTTTTTTGGAGCGTTTTAATTATTACAGAACAGAGGTTAGTTAATATACCCTAGTAGCTTTCTGTTATTTAGGTCAGGTTTGGATGCTGAAGATAGCTTCCATGCAGAAATCATTGTGTCTGTGACCAAACTGAAGAAAACACTGACTTCTAATTACTTTGTATAACAACACCTGGCCACCTAATCAGGTGGAGGCCTATATGACAATCTGTCTCAACAGCCTCACATCCTGAAAGCCCCTAAAAGGAGATCCTACCATACATACTCTTAGAAAAACAGAAGTGCCATGAGAGAAAGCCTTTAGTGTGGAAGTTCCGAGCCTAGGGATCGAGAGCTATTTTTCAGAATTTTACAAAACCTAATGAGAATGGTTTCCAAAGGAATACTTTGCAGTAGTTGCCTTGTTTTTGCTTAGGAATGATTTAAAACATCCTTTGTATTAGTCTCATACTGAGAATATACCTTAAACAACATATATCCATCATTTAACTTAGACGACTTACAAAGTGAAAATTAATAATTTGATGTTCAATACATGTGCTATAGTCTGAATATCTGTGTCCTTTAAGAATTCATAAGTCAAAATCTAATCACCAATGTGATGGAATTAGGAGGTAGTTCCTTTGGGAGGTGGTTAGACTCCACCTTCATGGATAGGATTAGTGCCTTTATTAAAACAACCACAACAGCAAAGGATCCAGAGAGCACCCTTGTCTTAAGTGAGAACACAGTGGGAAGGTGCCATCATCTATAAAATGCCATGCAGGTCCTCCCCAGACATCAAATGTGCTGAAGCCTCGATCTTAGACTTGCCAGCCTCCAGAAACATGAGAAGTAAATTTCTGTTATTTATCAGCCACCCAGTTTATGGCATTTTGTTGTAGCAGCCTGAGCAGACTAAGACAGCAAGCAATCTGTTAGCTTGAAAAAAATATTTTTAAAATATGGGGGTCATGGGGTAGGTGACAAAGGACAGTTTTGGGCAGAAAATTTCGACAATCTCAATTTTCTGAGTTTGCTCTAGCAGCAGTTTAGTTAGGCACAGATTTGTGGCTCATGAGGGCCACGGCTAGGCTAGTATAAAAGACCAGTGAGCCTTTTCCTTGGTGGCTTGGGTGTCCCAACATTTTACATTTTGAAAAAGGGAAAAACAATTGAGAAATAATGTGATGGAAAGGGCCGTAGGTTCAATGAGAGTCAGTAGATCAACTGGTTATGGCTACAGATGTAGATTTGGATCATCAGCTTAAAGATGGTATTTAAAGCTGATTGCATTTACCGAGGGCAAGTATATATAGGTGGGCAGATGGATGGGGCTGAGGACAGCCTATAGTCATGCCAACATTTACAGGTCCTCTCTGAGCCTCAGTTTCCTGCTCTCTCAAATGGGAATAACAATATTATGTACTACACAGACACACTATGATGATAATATACTATATGTAAGGCAGAAAAACAGAGCCATGTGTCTAGAAAAGCATGTTTCTGATAATTAGTTAATTATATCATACCCTAATCTGTATTTTCCAGAAGCTTTGCTTTCTAGATAAGAAAGTATAAAGAAAAAATGTCTGGGCTGATGTTTCTTTCTTTTTTTCCCTTTTAAAAATCTTTCAATGTTTTGTTACAGACAAGGTCACACGCTGTTGCCCAGACTGGAGGGCAACGACACAAACACCACACACTGCAGCCTCAACCTCCTGGGCTCAGCCATCCTCCTGCCTCAGCCTCCTGAGTAGCTGGGACCACAGGTGCATGCCAACCACACCCTGCTAATGATGTTTTTTAAATGTTTTCCACAAGGTATTATTTTCGAGGGCAAATGGCTGTTACATAAATAATAGATTCCACCTATCAAAGTTAAATTAGGTACTTTCACAAGGGTTTCATCATGCTAATATGCGTTCAGACTCATTGAAAGGGAGGATGACATTGGTAGTGTTTCCCCAAACTATTTGATCATGGTTCCTTTTTCTTATAAGACTGGTGCTCTAAAGAACACACCCTGAGATATACCGTGAAGGTGGTCATAACCTGCCAAGGACAGACATGCTTCAGATAGAACTGCATTTACTTAGAGGTATTTGTGAAGCTGTTCCACCTTCCTCTGCCTTTAATTTTAGAGAAGAATGTTATTTTAAGGCACTAAAGGGCTTCTTTTTACAATAGAACAGAAGTTTCTAAAGGTTATCCCTGCAGGCGAAGTCAACTTTTGTGGTACAAATCATTAGCCTTACCTCTTTCAGAAATAGAATCAGTATTACCACCTCCCGACCCCTGCCTGCTTCTCTCCAAGGGATATTGAAAGCGATAATTAGATAATTCGGGAAAGTATTTGGAAGTCCCACTGTAGACAGATGCTACAGATGTACAAAGGAATTCTCCTTCCACCTAGCTGACTTGCAAAACCTGTGCATTTTAGAAAGACATCTGGCTCGTGAATCCTTTCTTTTAAAAGGATTACTAAGATATTGTCTCAGAAGTCTGTTGGCATTCTGAGATTAAAGAAGCTGACAGTAGGATAGGAAGGGAAGAAAGGAGAGACATTTTATAATTTTGGAGGGAGGGGAAGGAGAAGCAGGTGTGGTGATAACAGGTTTAAGTGCTGTGTCTTAGGTTGCTAAATACAAGTATTTTTTCTTTAAAAATGTTAGGGCATCTTAACATATTTCTCTGAAAATAAACTAAGGTGCTCACTATTTCAGAGGCACATGTAGCTTTACACCTATATCTCTTCATCTTCTTTATCTTCTGCATCGTCTTCTGCAGCTTGATTATACATTTTAAAAAGTC